TAATCAGGAAAATAAAAGTCTAAGATAAACATGAATAATGAAATTAGTCACATATCACAAAGAATTTAGTGCAAGAAGTGAAAAGTTACAATCAGATTCAGCTGATTTAGGCAGCTGTCAATCCTATATTAACAGGTTCTGAAGAAAAAAGTGGGGGCTGTCCTAGTGGCTCAGTAACTTAATCCTCTACCTGTGGAACCAACTTCCCATGTGGGCCCTAGTTCTAGTCCCAGCTGCGCAGCTTCCAACCCAGCTCCCTGCTTATGGAGAACAGCAGAGGATGGCCCAGTCCTTAAGTCCCTGAATCCATTTGGGAAAGCTGGAAGAACCATCTGCAGATCAGCTCAGCTCCAAGCACTGCATCTGTTTGGGGAATGACAAGTGCATGGAAGAACTTTTTCTCTGTCTCTGAAAAAACAGAAATGTGGAAAAAAATATAGATGATAGTAGGAAAAGAAAAAAAAATCAAGCCAAAGCATACTCATTTAAATGAAAAATTCATATACATTAAAAAGAAAATTCTCTATCTTTGTAAGATACTTTAGGTCCATGCTAAGCAGAATACTGGATATGGCAGGCCATTTGTGACCCTGCTATTCAACAAAATACTAATGTATATACTTAAGTGAAATTAATGTCATGTAACTTAAATTAGATGCATTTAAATAAAATATCAAAACTAATAGTTAATCTAAAGTCTGAGGATTAGCTTGTCCCATTGAAAGCAGAGGGTTTTTTTTTTTTTTCCAGCTAGTGACCTCAGGGGAAATAAAGCAGTTCCAGGAAGGAGCAGGATTCAAGCTCGCAGGAAGCTGAGAGTGCTGCCCTGTGACAGCCATGCAGACACCTTCTAGGAGGAGGGCGCTGTCCCAGGGAAAGGAAAGAGCTGGGTCAGATCCTCCTCCTTAAGGAAATGCACCCTAACTAGGTAAGAGAGACTGCAGTCAGACTCAACCCCCTCCGCTCCTGCCCAAAGTCAGCAAACGAGAGCACGGCTCATCTAATGCCAAACTTCTCTAGGTCCAGCTGAAGCCGATGGATCCAAGCTGTCCAGTCGCATACCGTACTGATTCGAGGAAGTAACACCATGGCTGTGTTAAACCTCACAGAGAGAGGAAACGCTGCTGAATAGAATGAGAATATGAAGCGGGCATTTAATGGAGAATATTATTCCCCATGAAATATGGTATGTAATAAAATACAAAGCTTTCTAGATTTCTGGTTGTAGACAACTCATTGAACTTACTGGATTTGCAGTGCCATCATTTCAATAATGAAAATAAATTTACCTCATAGTAAAGCTTTTAAAAATAAAAACAGATCTTAGCTAAAATAGCTACCTAATGCTGAGAGCACATAAACGACTAGGCACTGGGATAGGGTCCCCAGACGCATGTGGGCAAGATAGTTAAGAAAGTGGGGATGTAATTAACAGCAGCACTCTTTCTGCCCAAACACATTTCCTTCTTTTACCATGTAACGAGGTGACGTTAGTATTATTGTGACCTAAGACCACAAGAAAGCAGAGCCGAATGTTGCGCCAGCAGAATCACCAGGCCAAGGCGCTCGCACAGGTTTGCCCACTCAGTGCAAACACCCTCTTCTCTCAAACTGTCTTCTTCCTGCGGGATTGTTCACCGAGAGCAGGAGGCACTGCTTCTGTTTTCCATAGAGGTAATTCACTCTCATTCATTCCTATACCTGTCCCCAAAAGACAAATGCCATATGCTTTCCTCTGTGCTGTGTGTGAGACCTAAAACACAGGTACAACAACATGTATTTCATATGAGTGAAACGAAGATTTTGAGATTTGGTTATTGTTTACACTTGAGGAGCAATGTTTCATTTTACTTTCTTTTTTTCCCACTTGGTATTTGTTGAATTATTAACCTAAGGGAGGGTTAAACCTGTGACTGTTTAGGGAACAGAAATTGCATCAGTGTAATAATTATAAAAAAAAAAAAAGGAAGCAAAGAATAATAATGAAGGATCCAGGAGGGCAGGCCCCCTGGAAGGATGGGACGGTAGGAAATACTATCATGCCATGAATCTGTTGTGAAATGCGTGAAAAATACTCACTCTATAAAAATGAAATATATAAAAGAAGGAAAAAAGACCAAAAATGCTGCAATAAGATTTTTTTAATCTAGTTGGAAAAAGTAGCAGCTACATTTTAAACAATAGAATATAGATCAGAGAACATTTTGATAAAGTGGCTGATGTTTAGATGAATACTTACAGTCTGTGGTACATGAGAGGGCGCCAAACAATACTAGAGGCACTTGGGCCATGCAGCCAGTGCACTAATGAGCTCTATTGTAACCGCAGTGCCCCAGCTTCGCCATAAATCTTAACTAGCACTCATTCTCTCTGTACACCTGTTTATGATTACGTTTAAACTATATTGAGATGGTCTCCATGGCTTTTTTTTATTACTACTTACAAAATTCAAGCAACTACCATTTACTTTATCATTTTACTTAGTAGATGAGAATTACCTATTTTCCATTACTCAGGGGTAATATATGTGCTCTATATGTACATAATATATATGACTGTGTGTTTTACAATGCACTGGTATGTAGATATACACACACAATCTCATAAATGCATCATTATTTTAGTAAACATACACATTTCTTTTAGTAATGTTTACGAATAACCTAGCTTCTGTGAAGTACATAAACGTGTGTTTTCACAGATTTGTTTGCACCTGATGAAAGTATCATTTTGGCTGAGCTAGCAACTGAGAACTAATACAAAATATCGTTTCTGGCTGAAGTACCTGTAGAACTTATTCTGTTGCTGAAGGAATTTACTAAACATTGTTTCTTCAATGTATTCATATAATCAGTCCTTTGATTTTTTCGTAAACTGGTTTTAATGTGTTCCTATTTAGTAACAATTTAATTGCATGACTTGAAAACTGATTCTGTAACAAAGAAATAGAGGAGTGCGTCAATCACCAGATCCTATTTCACTTCACATTTACTGGAACACAACGATATGAAAGACATGGAATAAAAATGTAGAAATTAGAGTAACGCTCTTCTCGGGAATAGTAAATTAGACTACCACTTGGGAAAGCAGCCATATTAACCATGTCATAAAATGATTAAATATTCAGTTATTAAGTGATCCAGAGAAATGCAAACATGTCTACCTAAACACTTTCACATCCAATGTTATTAAAATATCGCCCATATTCAGAAATAAACATGTCTATTATCAGACGAAGGGAAAATACAGTGCAGTCTTTGGTAATACAAAGGAATCAAGTGGTAAGGACATACATCATGTATCACTGGTGAACTTGAAAACATTTTGCTGAGATACGTTGATCACAGCATTATATGTTATATTTGCTTTATATATAACATCATCAATAGGAAAACTATTGAGACAAGTGACTAATGACATCCTGGACATCATGGGGTACAGAATTTCTTTTACCTAGAATAGTGAAAAATTTTGTAAAATTAATTGTCAAATGATGGTAGAAATCAGTGAATAGTCTAGAAAACATTGGATTAAGCAGTTTTGTCTTTAAAAATATTTATTTTTTATTGAAAAGACTGATTTACACAGAGAAAAAGAGAATCTTCCATCCACCGATTTACTTCCCAAATGGCTGTACTGTTGAGCTGAGACTATCTCAGAGGACCCAGAAGTTGCCTCTGTGTCTCCCACATGGCTTGCAGCAGCCCAAGACTTGGGTCGTGGTCCTCAGATCTCTCAGTCCATAACCAGGGAATGGTTTGGAAGTGGGGCCCACAGGACTAGAACCAGCTCCATTATGGGATGCTGACCCAGCAGGAGAGAGCTTAGCTTGTTGAGCCACTGTGCCAGCCCCTGGATTTTACACTTCCAAACAATGAATTTTTCATTGCATAGTTTATATCTCAAAAATCCAATAAGGAAAATTTCAATGTTCTAGACCTTTTTAGGGGGAGGGATAATAATAATTTAACTTGCATAACATTATTTTTCAGTGTGTGGTAATCTTAAACTCTAACATGTCTTCTGTTTTTCAATGTAAGAGTATTTTTTTAAGATTATAGAAAGCAAAACTAGAAGAAAATATATTTGTGTACAAAAACTTCTGAAATCCATGTATGATATTTCACAACATACATTTTTTCCATGAACTTTTTGCTGCTACCTTGTATTATACAGTAATTCTTTTTTTAAATTTTTTTTTATTGTTAATAACATTGTATTATGTGATAGTTTTATAGGTGCTGGGATTCCCCCCACCCTTCTTACATTACATGCAATCACACAGGATACTCCAGTGGGGATAACTGGTAAATTTTTATTTCCCATTATAGAAAGTAGAACCTTGTCGTTTTGACAGCTCATCCATTTTCCTTTTAGCACAATAATGCTAGCTGTTTTGGGCTCAGAGATAATGATTTATATTGATGCTTACTTGTTTCTGAACTTGGGTGTTAATCACAGTGCAATAGTCTGGAAGGGGTTGAGACAAGTCTTCCTCAGTTTTATGTCATGTGCCTTTCTTGAAGAGGAATTAAGCTTGCTGTTGAAATTCCAAGAGTTATTCCTTTATGTTAAGTTCTATAAATGTGAATGGAAGCTTAAACAAGATTGTTATGGTGATACAATTATCCAAACGAAATTGAATATTTTCATTCATTTTTCTTCTAAACTGCCTCATATGAAGTACCCATCTTCTGATACTGGATGACTTAAGGCCATCAACCCTGACTTACAAGAACATAAAAGGTTTATTCTCATCACTGGAGGAGAACCAAACACTGTAAATGCAAATTTGATGACTAGGGTTTCTGTTAGTTCCTTTTCCATTACACTGCAATTAAAAGAGGGAAAACACAAGATGCCCTTTGCAATACCTTGCACACTGCTAGGTTCTGATATCAAATGTAAAAGTTGTGGGAATTTCATTCTCAAGGAAATCATAGACTGAGACTTCGTGAACAGGTGACGATTCTCTATCATACGTAATGACATTAGATTACCATTTTCTGAGGCAGCAACTGTGATGTTGTACCATGGAGTTTCTTCTCTGTCAAGAACTTTTGTAGTCTTAATGGTCCCAGTATTGGCATCAATATTAAAACATCTTTCTTCCTCAGTATCATATTTGATGGAATATCTAAAAAAAGGCAAAGTTTCCTTTTATTTGATGTTATCATGAAGAAAATACAACTAGTCCAAAGGAATTAATCAATGACTATATATTATAATATTTAATGATACATTTTTATTTTTATTCGAGTAAAAATTTCTTAAATAGTCCCCAATAAAATTACTAATTCAAAAAATAACTTTAAAACACCTTCCAAATTCCAACACCAAAAATAAATCAAACCCAGTATTGATGGGTGAGAAGAAAAATTAAAAATTAACTCTGAGAATTTCATAATACATTGTTGGATAAAAAAATTCCCATTATAGCATGTGCATGATTTTAGGTTCCTAAAAGATGTCAAAGTGAATTTATCATCAGGTTTCATTGTAGTTGAAGTTGGTGTAAACACATAAGATGAACACCAACACATGGATGCGTGCTGTTATTTTATTGATCACTTTGTCTACTGTACCCTTGTTTCATTAAGGAATGAAGAACCCAATGGCTACAGGTGGACCGCATTTGGACTAATGTTGGAATTTACAGCGTGGAATCAGGTTAGGTTTGACCTCTGGCTTTCTTTTGCAGATGAAAGAATAACAAGTGATATCGGTGGATGCACTCAGGGTTCAGGGCTTGCTCATGCTTCCCTTGGATTCCGCAGTGGCCGGAAGAGAAGCAAGTCCACTTGAATCCTCCAGCCCCAGGGGACAAGCATTGTGAGGCTTGGTCAGCAAAAGCTCCCCAAGTATTGAAAGAGAATGTTCTCCTACATTTTCTAGTGCCTATTCACTCTTCTTTTGGTTCATTTTTAGGTAATATTTCATCTAGTTAACAAGCAAAAATGGGTTGAATATTGGGAAAGTGCTGCAAATGAATGTTGAATGAATTTGGCTGGGGAGATATCAATGTACAAAGGTCCAATTCAAACAAGCATTTACTTGTTAAAAAATAAGGTTGTAGTCAGTGTGGATATGCAAATTAAATAAGATAGATGAGAGTTTGGGCAAGTAATTGAATGGCCATTTCCCATGCAGCTATCTGAAAGCTCAGGTTATATCGCATTCAATGTACCCCTATGAGATATGGCAGAACATGCACCATTTTGATGAATGAATGAGGCTCCACACTTGGCAATGGCCCAAGGCCACAGAATGTGTGCTTTAAGATATCCTTGAAACAGACACATATCGATTTCTGTACTCGGGTCATGTTGTTCCTTCCTGATCATCAAGCATTGGCTGGTTAACACCAACCTGGGATGCAGCCATGAGCATTTGTGCTACAAGTGCTTAGTTTGATTTCTGAGGTTCAATGAAAGACTGAGGCGGCCAGCCTTCTGGCTCAACCTCACCCCTCCGAGGAGGCGTCCCTCTGCTTTTTATCATGTGACTGTCTGATTTCTTTCCTTTTTTCAATTCTATGTTTTCCTATTTATTTTTATTAGAGAGGCAGATACAAAGAGAGAAGGAGATACAGAGCGAAAGGTCCCCCACCCACTGGCTCACTCTCCAAGTAGTCGCAACAGCAGGAGCTGAGTTGATCTGAAATCAGGACTCAGGAGCTTCTTCAGGGTCTCCCGTGTGGGCACAGGGTCCCACAGCTTCGGGCTGTCCTCTCCTGCTTTCCCAGGCCACAGGTAGGGAGGTGGATGGGAGGTGGGCCAGCCAGATAACAAACCAGTGTCCAAATGAGATCCCAGTGCATGCAAGGGGTGAACTTTAGCCACTAGGCCACAGCATCGGACTCCTTGTCTAATTTCTTATTTTCTCAATTGCATGTCACTCCTGCTGGAACCCTGTTCATGCTATGCTGCTCATGGAACGTGTATCCTCAGACATGCCTTATTTCACTTGTTAGTTCTTGTTGAACACTGAGCTCCTTTAGGAATTCAACAACATAAAGTTGAGGTTTTTGGGACTGTCTAGACCCAAAGTCCTTATTCATGGAGTTACAATTGGATTTTAACTCCCTTGGATTAATGACAAAGTAAGAAAGTTAAAAGTCAGAAAAGGGGAAAATAGAAACATGAAAAAATCCTTTAAAATTATTGGAAGAATTAAGTATACAATAATCCAATACCAATTATTTAAAATTAAGAAGCGGTGTAGATTCATAAAATATAAAACCAATTATTAAATAATAGATGGAAATATTTTTAGTTGCTTGCTTTCAATTTGACAGTATTCATTTTATTTCATAAACTTTCAAAAATGTATCACCTTACTATTAAAAATATTAGTATTTAGAGTTTACGTTGAAAGTAATGTAATTAAACTGACATTGTCAGTGATTCTAGGAGTGAAAAATCAGGTACTTACTTAGATGACATCGGTTCTGATGGGATTAAAAATAAAAACTATGTAATTGGGGATTTAAGATTTATAAACTTTTAGTTCATCATTACCACAAGAGAATCAATATAAGTTTAAGATCTGTATGGGTTACAGACTTAAGCATAGTCTCTTGTCAAACCGTAAACTGTAAGTAGCCATGACTTCGCTTAGTCAGGCCTTTCCAGGTATCAGCGTACTGCTTCTCCAGGGAGGTGGCTCATTTCTTAGCAGCTGATTTGTCAAGTTCCTTTCAATTCTATTTTGGCATTCAGGCAAGTAAGCATAGCTTGTATACATCTAAGCTTTCTGCAGGCTAAACTGCACAGTTCTAATTTTATTTCCTTATTTAAAATAGGTGATGATTATATATCTACAAATTGCACATCTTATTTTGAGCATAAAAAGACAAAACTTGAACGTGGTAGACTCTATGAAATATGAATGGTATTCCTAAGAGTTTAGAAAATTGAAATACAAAAGACTGAATCCAGGAAGCCTTTCAGAATTGCCTTTCATCACCAATTCTACAAGCCTGCAAATAATTGTATTCTACAGTGCAATGCACGACACACCTTCTCAATGTTCTTTTCCTTAATTAGTACAAACATCTGGTCCCTGAGAAAGTGCAAGTAGGATTGCTTTTGTGTTTGTTAACGTTTTCTTTTCTCTCTTTTTTTTTTTTTTCATTTCACTGCACCTAGAGGCGCAAATGAGTGACACTTTTTTATTAAAATCAGGAATAAATATTATGTCAATTATGCCCCCAACAGCAGCATGGAGCTTAATTGTTTTAAGGCTGCTTACCAGGTTTCATTTTCAATGTTTAACCAAAACAAAGTAGAAATAATAATTCATATGCTAACAGATTTATGATTCTCTGAACTAGAATTTGGAGACAATGTACCAATCATCTTTGCATCCCCCTTTATTAGAATATTGTTTGTAACGTACAGTGTCCAATTAAGTGTTCTAGTAATATATAGTCATTGCTAAGGCAATTAATAACATCATGGATAATTAACTACAAGCAACTTCCTACACTGATTGTAGTGTTTACAATGAAATATTCACACAGCTATGTACTTAGGCACACGTAGCTGCATACTCACACATGCCTTGTGCCAAAACCTTTCACAATGTGCCTTTGTGAGTATAATCATCACTGCAGCTTGAAGAGTGAACCATTGTTTGCTCTGCACAATATTAAGTTCTCTTTAGAGACAGTAACCTGCCAATAATGCAGAAGTCCCTCCCTAGTTCTGAGTAGAGCTAAGTCCTCGTCTTGGATTTTTCAGCCTCCACAGCAGTGAGAAACAAAGGACTCTGTAACTCCTGCCCAGAGGAACTTGCCAAAAGCCTGAAATAAAACCTTCTCTCAAGTTGCACTATTAATTGCTGGTGAGAAATTGTGTCCTGGAACTAGAGTCAGCTCTATGGGGAATGCAATATTTCCATACAAAGTGAGGCTTTGCTAGTACAACAGGGCCAACAAAAGTTGCTCCTAGACTTCAGTTTCTTCTCCTTTCATCACCTTTAATCTACTTTTCAAATGATCTGTAATGTTCACTATTGTTTACACTGAAGTGCAAATGTTGTGGTTATTTCATTTCCCATTGTGACCATTAGCACTGCTTCCAGGATAAATAACAAAACCACCCTGTTTACACTCTTTAGTCTAATTTTCACGCCGACTGGATTGTCATTTCTCACAGGTAGCCAGAGCTCTATGTATGCACAATAAAGTTCAATTCCTGACTCAGTTCTTCACCTGAATATTCATTAACCTTGTTCATGACCTCCAGTTCAGTCCTGCGGGACTCATTCCCACCATGTTTTGCAAGTGTGACCTTGGTCACACCTCTATCAAATCATAATCTGCCACATTACGGTGTCTGATAATTAGCTTATTTATCAGCCTGGCTGTGCCATGGTGCCCAGACATTTGTGTAAACATTATTTTGTGTGTCTGTGGAGAAGTTGTGTGTGCGAGTTCATGTTTCTAGGGAGGAGATTGAGATAAGCACTTAAAGCGATAAGTTTTGAGAAAAGCAGATTTAGTTTTACTTTTGGTCAATGTGATTTTTGGTTATTCACGCGGTCAATCCAATGAGTAGATGGCTTTAACAGAGCAAAGACTCACCTCCTCCAAGCCAGAAGTGCTGCTAATAAACCACCTTCGGACTCCAAGGAGAACTCATCTCTGGGTCGTCAGCCCAAGACCCACTTAGAGATTGTGAAAGTTGAACTTCCACAAGGGTGTGAAGTGACTGTTTAATCCTTCCTGTCATTACGTCTTTATTTATCTATCTCTGTGTGTGTGTATGTGTGTTTAATTCCTCATGATGATGAACAACATTATAATACTAGCACCTGATAGGTGGTTAAAATGTGTTGTATATACACTATGGAATACTATTCAGCCACAAAATAAAATGAAATTCTTTCACAGCACAATGGATACAACTTGAGACCATTATTCTTAGTGAAATAAGCTGATCCAAAAAAGACATATTTTTTTTCTGATTCACTGTAACTAATACATGAAGTACAAAAATGTGAGTGAAACCAACATTTTGAGGATTATCACAGTGCCATCTATACCACTGAGCAACAGTGCTCCTTCTGCTTACTACTTCTTGAATTCCTCAGTTTGTGGAGGATTAAGCTTGAGATTATAAAGTAAATAGAAGTGTGTCATCACAACAATAATAAGAAAAAAAGAAAAGTGAAAATGGAAGGAAGAAGGACGGAGGAGCAAAGGAGAGGGAAAAGGTATAAAGTAGTATTATGTTCTTAATACTGTATATCTGAAATACATAGACTCTGTTCCCTTTATATAAATGAATGAATTCATGAATAACTGTACTTTCTCTTCCATAACAAAAACTTATAGAAAACATTACTATTAGCCTTTAATGTTGTGACTAAATTTCACCAAGATTTATTAAATACATTTTATAAGATTTTTATCCTCCCCAAATCATGGCTGCTTTTGATAAAGAATGTGTCATCTGTAAGCCTTTATGGTGCTGCACTTCAATATATTTAACAAACTATGCTAGCCTTTGGGAGCCAAGAACAGAGAATGCTGAATGAAGCATAATGGGTTTTCCTCTACTTGGACAACTGAATATAAACATCCCAGCACGGAAAATAGTTTCTGTATATGCACTGGTAGCAGAGCCTTTACGATGCTTAGAAAATACAATGAAGAGCTTTTATGAATATTAGAGGTATTGAGCAACTCTTCAATATATTTTGGTTTTGCTGAAGTGGGTGGAAATGAAAGAAAGTAGGAATAAAGAATTTAGTGGGAAAACAGGCAAATTCATTAAACATTATCAATGTCTTACAGCCTGAGTATTTCTAACGACACCAACATAAGAAAGCCAGGGAGTTTTGCACATATATTCAGCCCTTATGATTTTTAATAAATGAAAAAAATTAAAAACCCTTTCAATATTTTATGCAAAGACTTCATAATCTCTACTGTATAGCATATTAGAATAATAAAACATCATTTATTGAGAACTTATTACATGCTTCCCGATGTACACTGTTGCTTACTCCTAGCTAAAATGATCTCATCGCAATGTCTGCATAGCATTTCCATTCCTACTTTATATATTAGGTAGTGGAAACCAGAACTGCATGACTAACTGCATTCATCTAGTGGTAGAAATAAAGAAAATTTAAACAAATTCTGTTTTCAGAGTCCAGTTCCATGTTCATTCTCACTACTAAATCAGAACATCAGCACTCATTGAGTGGCTGCTAGGTGCAGGCTCATTGCCAAAGCACATCGTGTCTTGAATTCTCACCCTGACCCTTGTTGACATATATTGTTTTCTGTCTTTCACAGGAGTATGGATTTTATAAATACCACACAGCTGATATGACCAGAGGAATCTCTGTCACAAAGTATCTGTGATGATGCAAATCTAAAATTCTTGACAGTTATTTTAAATTATGTTTATGTAAAGCCTACATTCCTCACCTAAAGTTACTCAATAATATCTTTGTTACAAAGAGAAACACATACATTAAAATATTTTAAGTTTTAATTTACATATTGAGTGTCTATGTGAAGTAGTAAACATTTTCACATCTCTAGAAGACTGAGACATGCCATACCTTACTAGGCTATTAGCACTGTCAGGATCTTGTGCCAAAACTGTGCCAACAGTGGTTCCGATCTTGGCATTTTCATAGACTTCCATGACATAGGAAGGCATGGAAAACAACGGGGCTTCATCAACATCCCCAACAATGACTTTCAGGATGGTGTTATCTCTAAAAGGGCCCAAGTGCGTAAAGCGAAAGTCAAGATGTGTGTTTGCTCCTTCTATGTTGAGGGTATATGATTTCTTTTTTTCATAGTTCAATGGCTGTGGAGAAAAAAAATAAAATTTTCAATATTATGGCCTACCTTAGGTTTCAAACAAGCATGGTCATTTTGCCTCTGTGGGGGTGGGGGGAAATTGGCAATAGAGTTAAGTCATTCTGGTAGTATTTAAAACAAGCTATAAAGTTTGTCTCAATATCATGTAAAGGAGTAACCATGCAGATTCAAATCTCAATCAATAGTGATTCACGCACACCCTTCAATACAGTTATTATGAGGTCCAAAATGATACACCGTCAAAAAATTTCTACTGCTTCTTGGAGATTCTCATTAAACTCTGTGATTTTCTTCCGTTTCTTCAATTTACATTGTCAATCATCAAAATCCTTCCTAAGCTCTTAAAACTTTGAAAACGAAATAATTTTTATTAAGATGATTGATCTCATTTCATTTACTTTGAAATTAAATTCATGTATTTTAAATGGCAAATGATATTTGAAGGTATGTATGCAGTACAATGTGGTGTTTTGATGCTTATACACATTGTGTAATGACAACTCATGAAGTGTAGGTTACCCATTCCAAACACACATTCACGACTCGAGTATTCAAAGTACTGTCTGCTAGTCCTTGACTTCTTTTATTTAGCATTTTGTTCTTCAGGCCCAGCCATGGTGCTATAAAATAATAGTACATTGTCTGTATGCTCACATATTCAATATCCAGTATTGTCTTAACAAATACTTAGACTGGATTCATAATTTATGAACAGTGCTGTGATAACCATGAATATGTAACTGTATTTTCAATATGATGATCTCATTTCCTTTTGACATATGCCCAGAAAAGGGTTTACAGCCAGTTGATTTTAGACGGAAGTGCCAGCAATGCACACTTGCACACGAAGCTCTTATCTAGAAGGTACTTGTTAAACTTGAGAGGAGAATGACTGCACACTCATCTTTGATTGTATGGAAAGTCAAAGAAAATTGCACCAGAAACTTAAATCCCCAGGCTATAGTACCAATTCATGAAACCCAGAGTAAATACCTCAGAGCATCACTTTGCATGAAAACAAAAGGGAAAAAAATGACAAAATGGATAAGATTAAATAAAAATAAAATGTCACAAGAAGTAAAAGAGTGAGGAGACAACCTATAAAATGGAATAAAATATCTACAAGCTATATATCTGACACAGGGCTGAAACCCAAAATGTGCAATGATGCTAACAATTCACTGAGTAAGTACTTCAATAAGACATTTTAAAAATGGGAAAAAAAAAACCTTACACAGACTCTTCTCAAAGGAGACTCAAAAATTATGACTAGCTATGAAAAAAAAAAACATTCAATATTGGTACCCGTCAAGGAAATGCAGATCAAAATCACTATGAGGTATCACCACACTTCAGCTAGAACAATCATTTTCAATAGGGAATGCTGGTGAGGATGTAGGAAGAGTGAAATACTTATCCACTACTGAAAATATAAGTCACTCCCAGACCCAGTGGACTCAGTACCGAGCTTCCTCAAGAACTCAAAAACGGAGCTGACATATGAGCCCACACTTCCCCGTTTAGCGCCCGTAGAGATCACCCTCTTGTTATCCGAGCTGGGCTAAACGCGCACCTCATTCAAGAACGTTCAGCTTTATAAACAGCTTATTGTTGAAATATGAACAAAACACTTTATGTAGAATTCTGAAGGTCACTTTTGTGAAATATGTATATATGTATATATTTTGTGAAATATATATTTATAAATATATACAATATAATAAATATATATAGTATATATAAATATATATATCCTTATTTTCTTTCCATTTCATTTATGATGCTGTGATATTTGAGCCATTATTTAAAAATTACTGGCTTCTCACTCTCTCTCCTCTCTCTCTCTTGCTAGTTTTTGTTGTTTCTGGCTAAGCCATTATTGTTTATCTTCTTTTTAAAAGATTTTTATTCATGTATGTTAGGAGAGAGTACACAGCACAGAGAGACAGAGGATTTGCATCCAAATCTAGGTGGCTGGCTATGCCAGGACCAACTCGATGATAAGGAAGCTCAGTGTAAACCTTACAGGTTGGCTATCAGGATCGGGGTGAATGATAGCAACAACCTAGAATTGCAGGGAGGTCTGGGACGCACACCCCTGCGCTTCAATACGAATTGCTGGTGTTGCTAACCGTCTTAACCAAATGCCAAAAACCTTTTCCCAGCTTTTCCAATATTATTTTTTCTTTTCCCCACTTTTTAGGTTTCCAAAGGATATTTGTCTTTCAGTAATGATACATGCCAGGCAAAATGAATTTGATTTGATATAGAATAACTGACAAGGTCTGCATGCATTTAGTCTTGATTAGTATGTGGTTAACTACAGGATATTAATACCAAAGTGAGCGTTTTACAGCCCTTGTGTTCAGTGTCTGACATGGAGAATTATGGACAAAACAAGAACAAAGAATGCAACTCAGACTAAAGGTTATTTTGAGCAATAGAACCTTCCAAGAGGGAGTGCCTTTTCAAATTAGAAATGCCTGCTTAGAAATAAAGAAGTAGGATGTATATGGGACTCCACGACTTAAAAAAAAAATCACATTTGATTTTAAGCATGTCAAATATCTCTGGTGAGATTAGTGCATGCCATCTGGAAGGCCACGTTGTCATTCTGAATGCGATGAAACAGCCATGCCTATCTGATCATCCTGAGGAATGGCGATGCTTATCGGGAGACTGAAACCAGTCACCGCCCTGCGCAATGTCTGTGAGAGTCAGCGGGGCAAGGCAAGCGCCTTCCTACTTTTTCTCTTGTTTTGTACTAGCCTGCTTCATTCTCAGAGCACTTCATTTTCTGGGTAGGACCAGAGAACTGCCATTCCCTGTGGAAAAGCTGTTTTTTTCCTTTCCTGTAAGATTCAATATCTTAGTTCAGGCTGTTAGAACAGAATTTTTTTTTTTTTTTTTTCACAAATCGTGACTGAAGGGAAAAAAAAAAAAACACTAAACCTCATTTTTCTCAGCCTTTTTGGCTGGAAAATTCAGGTTGAAATGATCGCAGATTTGGTGTCTGCTGGGAGTGCTCTTCCTGCCTGTGGATGGTCTGTGCTTTGCAGTCTCGTCACACAGGAAAGCAGTCATCTGTCTCTTGGTTCTTATTGTAAAGGCATCCACTCCATTCACGAAGGAGTCACACTCACTGCACAGGGTGCTCCAGGCACACCTCCTCAACATGCCAGCATGTTGGGAATTATACACCAATATATGAAATTTCATAAGGAGCTTATGCTGCAGTCCCTTCACAGAGTCAAGAACTAACCAGAAACATGCTTTGCTATGCATTTTACCTGCAATAGACCATTGTTGAAACAAGTCAATCCCAAGGGACAAATATCATATGCTGTTCCTTCGATAAGGCAACATTTATACAAAATACAAGATTGATATCCTTTTCAGTATTGTTTTTGCTATGTCTCACGGGATTGATGTTTTTGCTTAAATTTACATTCATTCATAAATATTTTGTTTTTCTTACTAATTTCCTCAATGACTCATAAGTCGCACAATAGCATCATTTCCTGTAAGAAGGTATTTGATTTTCTTTTCCATTTCTTCAGTAACACATTATTCAGTCACTAGCATGCTATTGAACGTCCTGGTCCTGTAAATTTTCTATTTTTTCTCTCTGTTACTGTTTTTGTTTTATGACTTTTCCTTTAGGGGGATGTGCAGTAATTGTGTAGTAGAGACTATCATACATGGATGTAAAGATACAATTCAGTGTGTACCTCTACTTCCAAATCTAAGAAGAACTGCCAAAACAACTGTTGAATGTATGTGGACAATAGGATACTGGACTCTGCCATTTTCCATACCTACAATGTCAGGATACACTTAAACAGCAGAATGATGGAATAATGACTGATTGTGAAGGACTGTACGGTTGTAATGACATGGGGAAAATTAGTGTATGGGGAGATCTGGGGAAAGGAGGGGAGAAATCATAGAGCCTATAGAATTATGTCATGGAATAATAAGATAAATAAATAATTTTTTAATGGATGAGAAAAAAAAGCTGAATCCCAGAGAAAACCAATGATTTTAGTATTATAAATGCTGCTGGTTCAATTCAATATTCTACTTGTTTTCATAAGAGAAAATAGAAATTTTTAATTTTGACCAATTCGTTTAATACAAATTTGTGTTTTTTACTTGCATATTTTTAGTGGATCAGGCCACTCATGACAACTGGAAACCTTTTTCTTAGGAAATCTGCATTAGATGCAAATTTTGAAATTATTGGTATCCAAGTTATTGAGGAGTCACATAGCCGCTCAGAAAACATTTGTATTGCACCTGCTCGTTCCTTGACACTTGTAGCCTCAGCATTTGCGAATCAGCAGTGGCCTCTGAACAGCTATAGCTTGCTGCCCGTTAGAAGCAGATGGGCTCACGAAGGCCACAGCATTTTCAAGCTGAGCGTCAGCATTCCTTCATGGAAAGCTTGAGACCTCCTTGACAAGGGTTCAATGGCTAGTCATGGTTTTTACTATTATTATTTGCAATCAACTTGCTACACAGGTTGGTTTTATAGTGCTGAAGACATTAGGAGCAAACATCCAATGTATTAACTTCATGAGAAATATTTAGCATTCCCTTCTCACAACACTGGACATTAAAGCATTCATCAGAATATATTTGTTAGTGTACGTTTTTACATCTTTATATCTTTCAGTGAAATCTGTGGAGGGAATTTTTGGCTACCTTTAGTCCTTTTGATACTGTCACCAAGTCACTCTATTCCCAATTTCCCCCAGGTCCTTGGACAATTTAGATATCATTTGGCTTAAAACTCACTCACATACTGCTGGTACGTGAGCTGTTTACTTTTGTGCTTATTATCATATAAAATGTAGTCACCTGCCCCAGGGCAGGGGTAATCATTTTAATGAACTTATTTGCCAGGACTGGCAGATGGATAGATAAGGACCCATCTGGATACACAAAGGAATGAGAAGGTTTTTACAAGTGAGGACAAGAACT